GCCTCCTCAAGATGCCCAGCCTGCTCTCCGAGTCCTTCTGCGAGGACCTGGAGCGCAAGAAGAAGGCCGTCTCCTTCTATGATGATGTTACCATCTACCTCTTCGACCAGGTAGGTGGCCATGGGCTGGGCAGAACAGGGCGCTGGTCGTGACCCTGTGGTGTTTTAGGGTGCCATCCTTGTCCAACGGGACCGATGGTGGGAGCCATCCCCAGGGTCTCCTCCCGCTTCTCTCCCCTTGCCCAGGAAAGCCCCACGAGGGAGCTGGCTGAGCAGAGCTTCCCGGAGCCCCCCCAGCCTTCGGGGCAGCCCCCCGACAGCAGCAGCCCCCCCAGCCCCGCAGACCGGCTCGGAGCCTCGGATGACTCCTCGGACGGCAACGCCTCGGAAGAGAGTAAGTGGCTGGTGGGCAATGGGGGTGGCAGGGGCCAGGCTGGGGCGAGCCCACAGTGGCCTCAGCCCCCTCGATCCCTGTGGCAGGCGGTGGCTTCGAGTGGGACGATGACTTCCCGCTCATGCCGGTGAAGCCGTCGCTGATGGCCTCGCTGACGGGGCCGCCGGCGGAGCCCGACCCGGCTGTGCCCGCGCTGGTGCCGGTGCAGAAGCAGGTCCTGCCCATCCAGTTCTCCCGGTTCACGGTCTCGCCTGCTCCGGTGTCCCGGTTCTCCATCACCCACGTCTCCGACTCGGACATGGACTCCATAGGAGGTGAGTCCTGAACCCCCTCGACAGCCCGCATGGTGCAGAGCCCATGGTGGGAGCTGAGCATGGGACACCCTGCGGCCATCGTCTGAAGGGCCGGGGGGCCCATGGGATCATTGGGTCCCACTCAACGCCGCCTCTCCATCCATTGCAGGCAGCAGTGAAGATGGTGACCGGGAGTGAGCCAACCGGGACGCCGGCACCGGCACCGGCACCGGCACTGGCAGGGGGTGGCAGAGCACGGCGGGGCCGGGAGCGGGGGCCACGCTCCGGACTTTTTTAGGCAGATTTTCTCGGAAGGAGCTCGTTTGCTGCTGCGAGCGGGAGCGGGGCCGGCCCGGGGCCAGGCGGTGGGTGACGGCCGCGCGGGGTGCGGGTGGCTGCGGGTGCGTGTATACATAGACACATATATATATATATAGACATATATATATATATAAATTATAGCAGTTAAAGGGTAGTGCCCTGACCTTGCTAACATTTGCGGAGTGTCTCCCCCCCCCCCCCCAGTGCAGTCCCCCCTTGGCTTCTCACCCGTGTGTGCTCCTGAGGTGGTGTTTGTCCCCGCACCCCCTGTGCCATCCCCTTGGTCTCGCACCTCACGGCGGTTTGGCTGCCCCACGGCTGCCCCACAGCGTTCCTGAGCGAGGGGCCGCCAGCTGCTGCCGCTGCTCCATGTCACCCTGAGTGCGCCCATTCCCATTCTGGTGCTGCTGCACCAATGGCTTGGGGGCCTCAGAGGGCTGGGCAGCTCCCCCCTTGCTTTTTGGGGAGCAGTCCTTAGACCCCAAGGGCTGGCAGGACCCCTGCCCCGCTGCAGTGGGGAGCAGCATGGGGAGGGCTGGTAGGGGGCTCCTGGGACCCCCGGGACCCACTGACCCCACTATTTTTGTATTTAAAGAAAAGGATACCCCCCCCCCAAGCACCCAAACGCACCCTCAAAACAAAACTTGCTGTTGATGAACCCACATTGATGCGATTTTAAGTTATTGCTGCCAAAGAGACGTAATGAGTCGGGGGGGCGGGGGGGGGGGCACTCGTGGTTCTTCGTTCTGGTTTCTTTCTTTGTTATTTTTTGAAGTCATTTGAGGCTTAGGATCATTGTGCAATTCCAGCTTCCAGCAGGAAATAATGGAAGTAAGCGGAGCTGAGTGAAACCTTGAGATCAGGGCGGGCCCCTTTGGGGTCTATAGACCAAACCCTGAGGTGAGAAATGCCCCCCCACCCCAGTCCCGTGTCCCGCAGGCCCCGCTGGCACCCCATGTACCTGGGGCGAGGGCACACGTGCTGGTGCACGGAGACACGCACACGTACACACACACGTGCACCCACATGTGCCGGGGCTGGCGCCGGGGTTCTCTCCGTGCCAGGGCTGGCTCTGCCTTGGCACAGCTCCGGCACCGAGCCGCCGCTGGCTGCCCAGCCTGGTGCCGGGCACAGGCGCTACCCCACTGCCCCCCCCCTCACCCAGCCCAGCCTGGAGCTGTGTCCCCATCATGAAGCTGTTGTCCCCAGGGGACAGACAGAGTCCGGGGGGACCCCACATTCACCCCCAACACCCAGGGCGGCCGTGCCTGCCCCGGACCCCCCCTGCTGCTGTTTGCGTCTCCCCCAGCAGCCGAACACTGATGGCAGTTCCTGCTTTATTTGTTGTATTTCAGCTCCAACCTGGCCTGTAAACAGCACCCCCCCCCCTCCAAACCCCCATCCCAGTTCTTGCAAGCCCTCCCCTTACACTTTGCAGCGGGGGGCTGACATCCCCACACTGGCTGGTGTTACCCACCAGCAGTGGTCCACCTAAGGATACCCCTTTCCTGCAGCACCCATCCTGCTGCTCCCCAACCCTGTGCCCCTCCTCTACCCCCCTGTCTGCATCCTGCATTGCACAGCCCGACTCAGCATTGCAGAGGGGTTTGTTCATCCCCCCCCCCAGTCCCCCCTTGCACCCAGGGTGATGGGATGCTGCTCCCCCCCACCTCCAGCCCCCGGGTTTGGTCTATGGCGCCGCAGGTCCCTGCCTCTGGAGGGCAGCATGAGGACAGAGCTGTGTCTTGGAGAGTTGTTTTTAATAGAAAGGCTATTATTACATTGTCTATTTTACCAATACGGGTCATAATCGCTGTATTTTTTATCAGTGCTGATTTCCATACAGCTCCCAGCATGTGTGTCAAATAGCATCGGGCCAATAATAAAGTTTTTAAAATATCTTAAGCCGTTTCCTGCCCGGATCATTGCCCAAGGCTGGGACCGGGGTGGCTCGGGATGGAGACCGAGGACGCTCCAGGGCCAGGCGGATGCCTCCAGCCAAGGGGAACACCGAGGGGAGGGAGGATTTTCTTGTTCATAAATTATATATTTTTCTCATAAAAAAAATTATTTCAGGTTACATCTTGCAGGTGCCACAACTGAAGGAGGTGCAAAGGAGCCCCAGGGGCTGGCTGGAGCCTGAGGGGGCTGCACAGGGGTCCTGGGGCAGGGCTAGAAGAGGACAATGCTGGGCCAGTGGCCAAGGGGAACCCAGGCATCCGTCTCCTGGGCTGTGACGCCCCCCTAATCTGCTGCTCTGCTCCCCAGCCCCTCGCTCCTGCCCCGTGTGGTCCCCATCCATCTGCTCCAGCCCCAGGAAACGAAGCAGCAGCGCATGGACCATTGAACCAGCCCCTTTCCTGCAGCAAGAGCCATCGGAGGGGACACAGGAGCCACGAGCCATCGCGTCTGAGTGGGCAAGAGCCCTGCCTGCATGGAGACCCACCAGCAGCCACCCGTGTGCCCAAGGCTCCCGGTGCACAGCAGAGCACCCGCTGCACTTGCGAGTACAAAGTGCAAATATGACAAATACAATGGAAAAGGCAAACTCTCCGAGGGCAAACTCTTCGAGGGCTCTGCCCAGCCTTCAACCGCTCGCCCACAGGAGACGCGGTTCCTGCCTGGAAAACCCTCTTCTCCCCGTTTCCATAGTGAGGATGTGGACCCCGTGCTGGCTCGGGGCGAGCGGCAGCGGGAGCTGTGGGATCGGCCCAGGAGGCAGCTTGCTCGTGGGCGCACATCCCTGCAATGAGCTTAACAAGTGTGTGTGTATATATAGATATATTTCTTTTTTAACCTATATCTATCTCTTTCTCTCATGCAGCTCTAGTAACAGAGGAAGAGCAAACAGCCAAGCAAGAGGTCTGGATGGGAGAGCCTGTCTGCGGGGAGCAGGGTGCCCCTTCACCCGCTGGGCACCCAGGCACCCCAAGGCACGCTTAAACAGAGCCCTCACCCCAAAAGGATCATTTTTCCTAGCTTATATTTTACAGCAGTACCGTAATTCCCAACTGCGCACACAGACCGGAGCAGTCCCCGTCCCGGCAGGGGCTGTGGCACCAGTGTCCCACCACCTCCCAGCCTGGAAACTGGGGTCTAGCAGGAGCTGGGAGCTGCCTACGGCACCCACCACCCCTTTGGCTTGCACAGGGTATCCCGGCTATGCTGCCTGTACCAGGGGTCCCTCCGGCTGGGCAGGGGGAGCAGAGAGACCATCTCCCCAGTGCCGTTGCTGCTCCGAAGCACAGCTCACCTCTGGAGAGCTATTTTCCAGCTGAGGCCATTCTCCCAGTCATGGTGAGCTGCTGCTAAGCCTAGAAGCAAACTTGCTATGGGACGCGCTGCTGTTGTGCAGCAAAGGACAAGGCTATGGGCAGTGGTTTAACCCTCTGCCACCGAGGGGAGCAAGCTGGGTCTAGAGGAGCAAGAACTGGGGCACTAGCGGGAGCCTTTGGCTTTCAAAGCAGCAGGGTTAAATAAACTCCGCCTGAAGATGAAGTCCTGGCAGGCGGACATGCAGTGGTGAGGAGCAGGCGGCGGGTGCCGCGTGGCACAGCGGGCACCGGCGCGGCATCAGCTGATGAGCGGCGCCGAGCGGTCGTTGGTCACCGTTGGCTTCAGCTGGACGTTGGCAAAGGGGTTTCTGCAGAGAGAGAGGAAGCGGTTTAGCAGGAGGGAGGGGGGCAGCGGGGCCTGTGAGGACGGGCACGGGCACAGCCAGCGGCGACGTGGAGACACCCCCGAAAGCTTTTGCTGTGCTCGGTGCTGGGCACCCCTCGAGGCCGTCAGAGATCCTGGAGCCACCGGTCGCGTTCCCTCCATCTGCCTGGGACCAGCAGCATTTGGGAAGGGGTGAAGCTGGAAATGCTCTGCCCTGTGAGCCCCTGGGCTGAGCTGCTCCCAGCTCCTCTGCTTCTCTCCCTGTTAAAGCCATGGTGGATGTAAGACGTGAGCTGGCAAGTGCTGCTGCATGCAGGGTGTTCTCCTACCTTGCTCTCCAGCAGGACTAAAGCTGGGGCTGCTAAGCAGGGAGCCAGGGCTGGAGAAGCTGTTCTAACCCCCTAGACTGTGCTTGAATCATTTCCACACATGAGCAGCCTTGGGCTGCTATGGGGAAGCAGAGAGGGGATTATGGCTCCGTGTTTGCCGTGGGACTCATGGGGACCCTCTGGCTAAGAGCAGTGCATTCAGCTGCATGCAGAGGATTTGTGCTGTGCCAGCTGGGAACCCTTTGTAGAAGTTCAATATCCAAGAAACAAGCTGAATGTGCTGGAGGAGCTCAGCAGGGCCACGGGACCGAGCACAGCCCAGCTCCCAGCACACCAGCCCGTGACCAGGCCGGCTTTTACCTGCCTGGGGTAGCGGCAGCGCTTCCCAGGGCCAGCTCATTGCTGCCACAGCCCCGGCATGCACAGGTCCTGTGGCCGGACCCAGGGACAAATGCTGCTGTGACACGGGGAGCACCCTTACCTGCCCCAGGAGGTCCCCCCTGGGAGTTAACTCAGGGGTGCAGACAGCTATCAGGACACATCAGGTCCAAACATGCACCAGCACAGCAGCCAAGGGAGCCACAGAGCATCCCTGCATGCCCCTGCCCCTCCTGCCTGTGGACAGCCAGCCCTTCCTCTGCCCCCATGGAGCTCCACAAAGCCTTTTCCTTTCTGCAACTGAGGCGATGGCCATGAACCACAGCAAAGCCACCTCTGGGCCACCGGCCAGCCACAGCCCTGCCATCCCCAGCCACGGCTGCAGGTAAGTGTCAGCAAGACAAACACGACCATAAGATTAAGCCACGTTAGGAGCAGCTGTGATTACTGGCTACCTCTACCTGGAGCCAAGCAGCTATGGGACATTGAGGACATCCCTCCGCAGCAACCCCCCAAAGGCACTTGCTGCCTCCCCCAGCCCTGCTCCCCTTCCATCCCTCACCTCTCCAAATGCGCTTTTGCTTTCCTTAGAAGATCAACGGCTTCTGCTTAAAAATAGGGTAATTAATTTCCCACCTAATTAATGCAGCTTCTTAGATCACTTTCCCCCCAGGATGCCAAAATAGATTCTCAGGACTGGAGGGAGAGGAAAGGTTGCTTTGATGAGTCACCAGGGATTGTTATTTAACTGTTTTTGTTCTGGCAGAGAAGAGCCCTTGGGATGTGAGCCCACAGCTCCGGCAGGAAAACCAGCTCATGGATCAAACAGAAACAGGGAAGGGGCTCTCCTGGGCTCCGCAATGCCAGCGAGGTGCGTCCCGGCTCCCGGGGAAACTCCTCCCTCCCTGCCCTGAGGCCATGGCTGGGACGAGGAGGCTCCTGAGACGCGTCCCAGAGGAGGTCTATAAGCAAAAGAAGCTGCTCAAAGAACTTGACATTAGTGTGGATGTGCTCCAGGGCTGGGGACAGCGATGCAGCGACCGGTGGGACAGTGGTCGCTGGACACCTACAACCAAAGAGGCTGGTTATGGGGAGCAGGGAAGCAGCAGCTCAGCATTCCCAAGGGAAGCGCGGCCCCAGCCGTCTGCGGTGCAAGGAGCCGTGCGATGCAGCGCGGTTACACCGGGAGCTCCCGCCACCAGGACAAGCGGTGACCGGGGGAGGGATGTGCTCAGCCGGGTGCAGGGGGGAAGCAGAGCGGTGGCACCGTGCCCGCGCAGCCCCGCGGCCGTCACCCGCTGCCCAGCGCCAGCACACCCAGGGCTCGGCCCCCCGAGACCATCAACTTACTAACTACGGGCAGGGGCAGCTCAAAACCTGGCCACTTCAACATCAGGGCTGCAAGGGAAAGAGAAGGCAGGTTGGAGGACACCGGGATGCGCTCCGGCCCCTTGGTGGGAACAGAAGGTGTTGGTTAACGAGAGGCACCGGGCTGTGATCCCGCACACAGCGCCTCCGGACAGAGGAGGCAGGAGGAAGAAGAAGAAAAAGGAGGAAAAGCGGTGTTTATGGAGCTGCTGGTGCTGCGAGGAGGGGAAGGAAGGGCACGGCCAGCCGGGAGGCACCTGCGGGGAGGAGAGGCCAGGCACGGAGGGGGGGCTACGGAAGGGAGGGGGGGCAGCTTCCTTCCCCCTGCATCGGCACCGCCGCTTTCCCACCGCCGGGAAAGCGCAGCCGCAGCCTCGGCATGCGACAAGCGCAGCATCAGCAGCATCATCCTCCCCTCGAGATGCACCCGGAGGAGGGACCAAGCCCTTAAACAGTTTTAGCTGCTCCCGCTCAGCAAAAAGCTGTTTAAAGCCTCGGGGCTGAGCGCGGGCAGGCAGCGCCCGGGTATCCCCCGGCCTCTGAATGCCACGGGGATGGGGAGGGGAACACAAAAAAAAGGCATGGCAACGTGCAGCGGGCGATGCGATGGGCAGCACACAGGCACGGCAGCCGAAAAAGACACCGAGGCCCAGCTCAATGCAATAAATAAAACTTTTATTCAAACAAGAACTCAGTACAGGGCACATTTCTCTCTCTGGCTTTTAAAAAAGGGTTTTCAGCACTTTACAATCTCCATACAGGCTTCACTAGGCTGGGGTGGGGTTTCACATCCCCCCCCCCCCCCTTCTACATTTAATCATTCAGCATGAAATATCCTGTGTTAAAAATCTTTAGCAAAAGGACATCGATGCAAGAGGGTCTTGTTACAGTCCGCCCATAGGCGAGTATAGAAAACAAAGCCGTGTCCGTGTGTGTGTGTCTATTGCCAGCAATGTCCCAGTAAACAGGCAATGTGACAGGTTGTAAAAACCACACCAGAAAAAGAAAGCGTGGACAGCTTTGCAGTGGAGACGGGCACGGGAAGGGCTCTGCACCCCAAGTGCCGAGGGGAGACCCCCGGGTGCTGCCAAACCCCCCCTCCCCGGCCAAGCCGGGGGTAGGGATGCGGCCCCGCACCCGCCCCAGTGCTGACGTGAGGTAACAATACCTTGCTACAAAAAATATATATATATATTTATAAAACAACCAGGAATAACCCTTCCAGGGGGGCTGCCGGCTGCGCCCCACGGCCGGCGGGACCCCAGCCCTAAAGCAGCCCTTTCCCCGGGGCGGGGGGCTCTGCGCTATCCCCTTCTCCCAAAGCCACCACAGCGGGTGGTTGGGTGGAAGCGGATGAGGCTGGGAACAGCATCCCGGGTGCGGGCATCCCGGATGCTCAGTAACAGTACGGACACCAGAGGCCATGCATATTTGTTCCAGTGTGGGACGTTGTGTCCAGGCTCGTGCGAGGCGCTGGCAGCCCCGGAGGAGGGGTGATAGTGCATCGCTAACGGTCACAGGGGGTACAAAAAACCGGGTCCCACTAACGTGTCAACTGCATCCGGGCTGCGGCAAAGCGAGCGCAGCCCCAGCGGCAGTTTCTGCTCGGAAAAAGGCTTCAGAAACAAGGGCACTGTGAACACCGGGGGGGGTGGAGAAGCACCATGGTTTCCTTGAAGATCACAAGAGTTTAAAATCCAAAGGAAGTAGAGAAAGAGAAATGAGGGGGAAAGAGAAACAAAAAGAAGTGGGGAAAGAAGCAGAAAGCTCTTCCAAGCAGCCGCTAGCCAAGGTGTCCTCACACCGTTGATACCAAACTGCCACTGCCACTGCGGAACAAAGCACAGGAGACTGCCAGAGGGGCCGGGACCACGGCACGCACCGCGAGGCAGCCCCGTGCCCGGGAGCCCAGCTCCACAGTTCAGTGCCACGGGGACCGGCACCGGAGCGGGGCAGAGAGCTCGGCCCCTGCCCATCACCACTCAGCTCACAGCCCCTGTTTGGGGTTATCCCCAAGAGTGAGATGGGGCTGCGAGGCAGAGGGGATGGGGATGGAGGAGCTGCTGGGTGGGAGAAGATGCTGGGGAATGACCCCAACCGTGTGAGCTCTCCGTGGCCCTGCTATCCAAAGGAGGCTGAGGAGGTTGACTCTCTCCGGAGGAGCATGAGCTCATGTGGGGTGCAAGGTCAGGGACACAGGGGCTGCCCCAGGACCTGCCCTCCCCTGGAGACGTTGGGTCCCTCCGTGCTCGGACGAGACCTGCACCGTGTTCTCCACCACACAACCTCATCCCCACCACTGCGCATCCCCTGGGGAACCCACATGGGGACCCCCATGGGGACACGGCTCAACAGCTTCACCCAGAAGCAACACAAGCAATTCCCTTTCAGGTAATGCGACAGGAAGGTGAGGTCTTACCTGCTGACCGACCTCGTCCCGTAGTCATCGAGACCCTGCGGAGAGGAGGGGAGGAAGCGTGGTGAGGGGTGGGGGACGTGGGGCTGAGCCCGTTCAGGTGCCACCGGAGGGTCACACCAACAGACCAAAGTGCATCAGGACCCAGGGCCAATGCATTTGGAGCGGAAAGGGGGAGATGGAGATGGTTCGGATGGGATTTAGGGAGCAGGAAGTAAAGTGGCTCCACTCTCTTCAGAGCAGGACTTTATCCGGCAAGCCAAGGGAAAGCAACAGGCAGGAGAGCCCCAGTCTGCTCTGCCCAGCCCGACTGAGGTGCACAGCTCCAGTTGCTTTTGAGATGTGAGACACTTGAGAAGGGATTGAACAAGTCATCAGTGAAATGCTCTGTGGAAGGTTTCTCTGTATTAACTCCCACCAGAAACCCACAGGGTTTTGGACTATTTTCTCCTTCAGCTGCTACTGAACAGCCTGTACAGCAGGGAAGGACTGCGCTGGTCTGAGGAGCAGATGGGGACCAGGGCTGGAGCATGTACCTTGAGGACATCGCTCCTTGGGTGAGGACTTGTCCTGGGATATGACCATGGAGCAGCCCCACTTCAGGACAGAGCAGGAGCCGCTGGCCATGCGCCATGGATCAGAGACCCATATTCCCATGGTCCCAGGAATGCTCCCAGTCACGAAACCCCAAATCCAGCAGCAAACCCCACTGGGAAACCCCAGCAGACATCAAGAAGTGGGGCTGCAGAAAGGACCAGATCCCACTGGATCTGCTGCCTCTCCAGAGCATCCTGCTGAAGGGTTGGGTGCTGCATGGCTGCCTCTCCCCCTCCTCATCCTCTCCCCATCTGCCAGCATGTGCCAAGTGCTCTGGGCAAGCCAATGCGGCTCCATCCTCATTGTTCTGGTGGGGAAGCCCCACTGCTCCAGTGGCTCCTGGGTAAAGCCGATCTCATCCGTACGTGCATCCTCCCATCTCATTAGCTCAGAAGCCCTGAGCTCATCTTGGACACCACCAGAGCCCTGGTCAGGGTCTGCCCCAGCCCCATGCGCTCACCCCAGCATCGCCAAGGGACCATCACTGGTTTGACCTGGACTGGGCCAGAGAAAACGCTTCCAGCTGCCTGTGAACAGCCTGTTTCTGGTGGGAGGCTCCCATGGAGTCAGCAAGTGTTGTCCTTTGGGGGTTTACGGTGGCATTTTGTGCCATTTGCTCCCTGTGCCTTGCCTGTTCTGCCCAGGTGACCCAAATTGGCCAAACCTCCCCATCCACTGCTCTCCCCTCCCACTGTCTCCCTGCGTCCCCCGCCCCACCTCCCCAGGAGAGATGCTCGGGAGGAGATGTGGCCCCAGGCAAGGCCCAAGGATCACCAGGCAAAACCAGCCAGCTGCCCGTAAATCCCAAGGGAAACATTGCGTGTGTTCGGACTTACTGCTGTCGACCTAGTGTAAGGCTTGTAGTGGGCGGAGGGTGGTTGGCAGAGGCCACTGGAATAGTCTTTAATTGCACAACCATAGGGCATTAGGTAGTCCTACAAACAACGAACAGAGGTTGGAGAGCAGCCCTCCGTGGACTGAGAACACGCTTAACACATTTCATCCTGCTTTACAACCACCGGTGGGATGGAGAAGCTGCGGGCCCCCGGGCCGGGCTCCAGCATGCACTAACGCCCCGGGATTCGCCCAAGCATCTCCTGTGTATAAAGCATCCCTCCCGAAGTGGGAGCAGCCCCACGGGCTCACCTGGGAGAAGGCGGGCACGGCCACGCTGTACGGCCTCTGCTTGAAGGTGTTGGCACCTTGTGCCGGGAAGGCTTGGGAGGCCATGCCGTAGTCCGGCGGTGGGATGGCGATGTCGTCCTTGTCCAGCAGGTTGCCGGTGCTGCTGCTCTTCCCTTGCTGCAGGCTGGGTAGGGGGGACCCAAGCAGAGGCATCAGCACCAGGCCAGCCCAGTTTGAGACCCCCCCAGGCTGCCCGTCCACCCACAGCGGGGGACCCCATGGCCAGAGACCCCCTGAGACAGCTCCTACCTGCCTGTGCTGGGAGCTATTCCTGACACACACTGTGCCCTGGGGAAGTGGACTGGTCATAGAACCATGGAATGGGTTGGAAAGGACCTTAAAGCTCCTCCAGCTCCAAGCCCTGCCACGGGCAGGGACCTCTTCCATAGGGCAGCTTGCTCCAAGCCCCTGTGTCCAACCTGGCCTTGAGCACTGCCAGGGATGGGGCAGCCACAGCTTCTCTGGGCACCCTGTGCCAGCACCTCAGCACCCTCACAGGGAAGAGCTTCTGCCTAAGAGCTCATCTCAGTCTCCCCTCTGTCAGTTTAAAACCAGTCCCCTTTGTTCTATCATTACGTGCCCTTGTAAGAAATCCCTCTTCCATCATCTCCATCCCAAGCCCACAGTTCTGCCCCGGGAGGAAGTGGTGCAGCCACCCACCCAGCACAAAGCTCCTACCTCGTGTGGACCCGCTCGCTGCCATCATTGTCAAGGACCCGTGTGTAGGAGAAAGGAAACCAGCCCCTCCTGGAAAGCAAAGGCAGGGATGAAGCCAAACCCACGTTTACACACGGAGGAGCCAGCAGAGGCTGCAGCCGGCGTGCGGCGGTTCCCAAGGACAGCCCTGGCACTCACAGCTTTGTTTTCTCACTCTCCCCATAGTGCCAGCCGTCCCGCGCCTCGGGCACCAGCAGCGTGATGAGATCGCCCTCCTTGAAGCTCAGGAGGGTGCTGTTATCTCCGGCAGCGTGAGAGAAAATGGCCTGCACCCTCGTCCTGCCGTTCCTCTCGAGCCCTGCGGCCATGGAGCTGGACCGTGGCAGTGTCTTGTTTTCAGCTGGTGGGAGACAGAGACCAGTGAGCACCTCCAAGTCCTCCACGCTGGGGCCATACCCAGGCACAGCCCAGTGGGACCAGGGGCAGGACAAGCCTGCTTATCAGGGGTCCCTAACCCTGCTTAGCTCACCCATGTGCCAATATAACCTTCACGTTCCCACCCTCATCCCAGGCAGGATGAAGCCACCGCTCCTGGCATCCCCCACCAGCCACGGGTGCTCCCTGTGCCATATCCCTCAGTAGAGTCCAGCTCTGCTCGTTTCCCACCCCCGGCTGCAGAGGCACAAGCAGCGCTATGCCGGAGGGATGCTGCCGGTCTCTGGGATGCAGCACCAGCAGCATCCCCATGGGGCACGGAGGGAGCCTCACCTGAGGCGTAGCTGTTTTTCGGTGGCACGTTTTTGCGAACTGGGAGTGTGTTGGAGTAAGAGTCACT